GGAAAGATGGAAGACTTTTCCTTAAGGTTTCCAAAATAAGTGTTGGAGAAACTATATCTCTATCATCAAATCCAAATTTCTCTGCATGGCGTCTAAAGCATTGTTGACCCCAGCGATGTGTCCTTCGGTTGTCACCTTAACATTCAATATATTCAAGTGGGATTCAGTCTCTGAGATAACCTTCTCCATGTAGGATTTTAAACTAGTCAATCCTTCCTTTACTATTTTGTTGTTATATTCCATATCCGAAATAGTGTCATTAAAAGTTCCTAGTGATGCCTTTATTATAGATAATTGTTGTTTCATAAGGCTAGTCATATCCTCCGTGCTCTCCTCAAAATGTTTAATTTGTTCATTATAGTAATCAGCATCATCGGCGTCTAGTGTACCAAATAGAATTTTACTAATGTCTCCTATGAAATTTAAAGCTCCTCTGTGTACGCGGGTAGGCTTATTATTACTTCCAATTAATTCTTTTAGTACTTTTTCACTTCCTCGTACCTGCCTAAATCTATCTTTGGCTATAGTGTAGAAATGATGGCAATCTGTCGAATTTTGAATCTCAGTGGCATGGCACAATTTGTTCACGTAATTAATGTACTGGCCAAGTAAATCTGTTTCACTGTCCGTTTGTTTCAAATTTACATATACTACCGTTTTCCATTCGGTGTTATAAAAGGTAGCTTCTCCCAAGTGTTCATAGTACACTCCCGGAGATTCGTCATATCTATCGACTGAGTATCCCAGTTCATGGGTTGAAGACTTGGATTCTTGTAACCAAGGTAAACATGCTATCCATGCTCCGATTATCCAAAATTTTCCAGGTAGCATCTGTAAACAAATGAATTCTATGTTTTTTTGCTTTTCTCATATTTTTCTTTATCAAGAATTTATCTAACAAAATGGTTTCAACCGATTCAGATGCACCTTTTGGGTTCGCTTCCCTCTTTTAATGGCGGCATTTACTTTATCCAAACTAATAATCTCATATGGTCCTAACCATTGCGAACATAGTTTCCTTGACCTGCCTCTCCTTAAGGTTTCATCATAGAGGAGAACCCTGTCCCCTATCTCAAATGTAGATTCCTTTGCATCTCGATCATAATATTCTTTACTTTTTTTCTTAGCTTTTATTAGTCTTTCC